CAAACACACACACACACACACAACACACACACACACACACACACACAACACACACACACACACACAACACACTCACAGACACAAACACACACACACCAGCCAAAAGGGGGTCTGAAACCCCCCTACAGGTGAGTGCGCTGGGGGGGCCCGGCCCCCAACCGGGTGCCCTGCCCGACCAGGCCGCCCGGGACCTCCCCCGGGCCCCTGCCGGTCACCCGGGCGGCCCGGATCCCCACTCAGGTTAAAATTGGAACGATACAGAGAAAATTAGCATAGCCCCTGCACAAGGATTAAAAAAGGGCAAAATTTGAAAAAAAAGATATCTCAAATCTCGATGGATATGCTGTGAGGTATTTATGGTACATATGTGAATGGGATATTTGTGTGACATGTCTCTTGAGAGAGATCTCAAATGGAGATGTCACATAACGCATCAAATTAGAAGAGCCGCACTTCACAGAATAAATTGAAGAAAAGAGCAGACCTCAAGAGGCAGACAAACTGTTCTTTTTGTCCTTTTTCTGTGTAGTTCAGCAACTACAGGGGGATAGGGGGGGAGGGAAGGGGGGAAGCAAGGTGCCTTCAGTTCGTTCGTGAAACTGTCCGTCAAAACAAACCCGCCTTTCTATGCTAGCCGGTGCCCTCACTGGTATGCACCAAACAATGTTTCTTTTTTATTAATAAAAATTTGGACCATTTCTCGATTGATGCGTGTCATCCTTGAGTGCGCAGGGGCCATGCTAATCTTCATTCTCGTTCCAATTTTAACGGATGTTACGAAGGACATGCACCAAACAATGTTAAGCCCCCAAATGGCCATCTTTTGGCATTGCTCGGATCCGATTTGGACCACCAGTACACCCGAGCCCAGCGGGACTTACACTGTGCCAAGCTTTGCCCAATCGCCAGCAGCACACTTGCCTTCTTTTTTGGCTGGTGCAGCCAGCCATTGTCGTTCGATAGCCCCAAGCCTTCTAAATTTTAGGAGTCAGCCTCGAGTCTTTTGGAGTTGGCTGGGGTCGTGTACTGGCGGTTTACGGTTCTATTGGTACACGTGGCAATACAGTCTCGAAGAGAGAAGTAAGATCGCTCATCGAGTTTGCCGCTCATTCAGTTCAGTCCACTCGGCTTAACCAGCTCGGTTCAGCCCGACCGCGATATCATGTGGTATTTTTCCGCTACTTTACGTCACTCTCCGGCCAAAATGTACGCGGCAAAATTCAACCTTGGAACTAGAGCTCGAGTATTCAAGGTCGCAGGAAGGGATCTGGGCGACCGCGACACTACCAAATCAATTGCTCCTTTGTTCTCTCGGGCGCGATAGTGAAGGAGACGCTGCAGCAGTCTGCAGCAAGATGGACACGACTTATTTTATTTATCCAACCGCATGGTTGGATACACACCCAATTTGACGAACTCAAGATGCCGATCAGTCCATTCCCGTTTAGAGAAGCATCAGGCTGAGCCACGCTGTTGCACACAAAAGCCATGGCCATGGCAGCTAACAGCTGCACCTCAGAGAGATATCACCGCGGCAGGCAGATGACACCACCGAAGATATCACGGTTATCACCACCTTAGGCCGATCAGATAAGCCTAAGCCAAAATCCGGCACCTTGAATCACAGGTTGGAATAAGCCAACAGCACATCGGAGTGTGTATATGACGGAATTGATGAGGCGGATCCCCCCTGCGTGGCGTGGCAAGCTTTGCCAAAATGCCAACACGGCGCTTTTCGTTATCTTTTGGCTGGCGGTGCCAGCCATTTAGGTCCGGCAGCCCCGAGACTCCTAAATTCTCGGGTTGGCTCGATTTCGATTCTCAAGTTTGCCTGGGCAATGCACTCGCGATTCAAGGGAGTACTAACAGAATACTCACCATCCCAATGAGCGAGTAGTCATGCTGCGCCTTTTTGGAATAAAACGTGGCCCTCATTGTTACCCAATAAGCCTACTGAAGTCGCGGTGTGCGTATGCTGCTCTATATGTTACTTCGGTGAAGTTCGGTCACGTCGACATTTGTGACCCTCCAGGACGGCGGGGTCAAGTAAGGCATCAAGGATCGAAGAGGTCTGATCAAGTAAAGCACCATTCGGCGATTCGAGTCTGGTTTCCTGCCTGCGATCTCTTGTCTGCAATGTCTCTGCATTCGCCCACTTGTCTGTGTATTACATTGCAAGATCTTTTGCGGTGTTCCCTATCTTGCGTTCAACGCCTCTGCATCAACTAGAAGATAAGTGTATATGTTCTCTCTTATGTATAGTTCTGTAGATGTTCTGTGGATGTGTGCATGCACATGACAACACTTACCGCGCATTGCAGCCTTGGTTCTTGTCCTCGCCAAGCCTCAATGTCAGTCCCAGACAAACCTAACATCATTCCCAGCTCCCAGCCACACCGATTCGGGGGCAGGCGCGCCGCTTCGTGGCGCTCAGTCCCAGACACATCAGATCCAGCCACGCCAGTCCCACCGACATCTGTTCCAACTTCCAACCATGCAGTTCCAGGCACAATAGTCCCAAAAAACTACCTCACAAGAGTCCCACCCACATCAGGTCCAGCCACGTCAGTCCCGGCCGCAACGGTCCCAGCAGCCATGCAATTCCAGGCACATCAGCCCCAGACTGCCTCACATCCGTCCCGGCCACCACATTCGTTCAAGGAACATCAGTGCCAGCAAAATTGGTGCGATCGACAGAAGAACCCCTAAGATCAGCCACACACTGCCTCACATCAGTCCCAACCAAGCCTCGATGTGATTGGTGGTTCCTTTGATAGCTCCCTCGACACCAGTGAATGTTTGATGGCAGAACATGGGCCCACTGCAAGATCAATTTGCCTTGGAGATGCCTGATGAATGGTTGAGATTCTGCATCGCCAAAAGACATGATCGTAGGATAGTCAAGGTATATAAATGATACAAGAAAAATAAAACAAATACCACCACAGCATGACTACATCGCTTCCCCCTACGAACAGACGCCAATCGAAGGTTGCAATGGCTGACAAGCAGTAATGCAATCATCAGTCAATTGCTGGCCACGAGGAATTGCTGGCCACAAGGATATCAATGGAGTCAATGCCTGAAATTCCCCTGAATGAGAAATGATAATATAGTATCATAATACACAATCTGATTCAGATAAGATGGGGGAAGAAGGGAGGGAGGGGGAGGGGGGAGAGATAGGGCAGACAAAGATCAGAGGCTTGAATAGTCCCCATTGACGACAGTATAGACGTATGAACACACTGCTGAAGTGATTACTGCACAATCGAGATTATAATGAGCATCCGACAGGTCGTCACCCAGTCGAGATGATGATCATATCATTCCTATGACTGACGTGGAACATCATACTCATCTAACGATCCTATCCGCCCTCCTGTCACTTTGCCACTCTCAGCCGGTCTGTCTGTTTCACCCTCCTTCCCTCCCTCCTATTCTCTGCACTTACCCCCTCCCCCCGCTTCGCCTCTCTCTCTCTCTCTCTCTCTCTCTCTCTCTCTCTCTCTCTCTCTCTCTCTCTCTCTCTCTCTCTCTCTCTCTCTCTCTCT